ACCACGACAGCGTCCCGCCCCCTGGGCCCCGCCTCCTCCTCGCCCTGCGCCCCCCTGCCCCGCAGGGCGCTCGGGGGCCGCCCCGGGACGTCGCCCCGGTTACGCCGGCTCCTTCTCGCCGCCGCTTCTCGTCTTGTGAGAAGAGTAGGGATTCTCCAGTCAGACCCAAAGGAAGAGTCAGCCCTGCACGACCGACGCCAGCAGGTGCACCCGCCGACGACAGCTACTAGACTGAGCCGAGAACCCGAGTGGCGCCCTGGCGCAGGCGCGTTCCTCCCATTCTGCCGTTGGCCTCGCCGGCGAGGAGACGGGCGGGAGGACACCGCGCGTGCGCTGGCCGCCGCGGCGGAGTGCGCGTGCGCACCTCGGGGCGACCTGCCGGTTGCCTGGTTACGGCTGTTGGCTGCTCCGGGTGCCCTTTCTGCCGGGGAAGCTGATTTCCGTTCACACCTAGCTCTCGGGAAGCAATGCCCGTCTGCTCCGCACAGAGCCCTGGAAGGAGCGGACGCCGCCGGTCCCACTGCCCACTTGTGCGCGCCTCGAAGGTCGTCCGGTGCACCCCAGCCGCACGTCCCCTCTTCCCCGGCTCGGTGCTCTCCTCCGCCGGCCCCTATACTCCTCCCCGGTGCACATACTCCGTCCGGTCCTTTCCCTCTGCCGGGCGCTAGGCTCGCTGTCCCAGCTCCTCTTTTGTCTGCCCTGATATCCTTCGAGGTCCCTAATGCTTCTTCCAGAGAGCAGCGAGCATCTCCCCCTGTGCCCAGGATTGTACCCTCAACTGTGAAGACCCGTGGATGGAGCCCCTAACCGTTGTTGAATGAACGCGACACCAGAGGCACCCAGCGACAAGCTAGGCTGCTGGGCCTCAGCCTCCTGCTCCTCCCATGGCTGCTGCCTCGTCCTGGCGCCCACCTGGCAGACACCATCTGAACCCTCCCATGGAGAATCTTAGGGAAGAAGGGGTGCTGCTATTTGTTTATTCATTTTCCCGATGAGAAAAGGGAGGTCGGGCCCACTCACCTGCACACCTGCC